CACCTTTGTCCAAACCGAACTGTTCGGTACGTATTTTTTTTTCAGCAGCTTTTAAAATCTGTTTTCATGTGGTTTAAAGTCTGTTTTCATGTGTTTTTCAGCAGCTATTAAATTAAATTAAAATTTTTTTTTGGCAGCTTTTAAAGTCTGTTTTCATGTCTTTTTCAGATATAATTGGACACATTGTCATGTACCAAAATGATCTAAGGACTGTTTCGAGAGGGGTTGAGAAAAGAAAGATAGAAGTTCTCCTAGAAGACTTGAGGTTTTTTTTATAGATTTATATATTTTTCTATTTAAAACAGAGTTTGGTCTCAACTATTTTATTCATATCTTATTTTTTATTTATATTGTTTTAGTGGTGAACAACTTACTTGCACATTGTGGGAGGGTTATGTGGATCAACTTATGGCCGCTTACAAGAACTATTGTCATTATCCAAATGTGTCGGGCCAAGAAGTTGAACAATGGTACATTTTAGAATTTATTATTTAATCATTGTTCTTATTTCAACCATTTAAATTATAACATTTTTTTATTGTAGGTACTATTACAGTGGCCAACGTTTACGACACCACAAAAATGATAATCGGAAGTGACATTCCGGAAATTATTGACTTCAAGGAAAGGTAGTTAATAGTATTATTTTAGAAAAGTAAAAATTAATTATTCTTAATTTTATTTATAGATTTAATTTTTATCCCTTAAAGGCACAAGCTTATCCTATGCCCGAGCCAATCGGGGAGCAAGATTATGAAATCTTATCTTTCGAATGTGTCCGATGATTTGCTACTCGGAAATGTGGGCTTCCAAACTATAAAAGACTTTTGCTCTTCACAAGAGGTATTAAATATTTTAGTTAATAATTTTATCCTTATTTATGTTGTTAATTAATTTTATTTTGTTAAACTTTTTCAGCCCACCATAATGTTTTAACTTTTTTTTTTAAAATATTACATCTTTATCATTATTTGTGTGTTTATTTAATATTAGATTATTTGCCTTGACAGCCCATTACATCTTGGATATGCGGCGTAATTTTGAGTGTTCACTTCGATTGGTGGTACAATTCTTGCCCCACATGTGTACGCAAGACTCTTAAAGAGGGAGACAAATTTGTTTGCAAGTATTGCAAAGAGGAGATTCCAATTGCTATACTAAGGTTTCGGATTTATAGCATTATTTATTTTTCACAGATTTTTACAGAAATTCTGGGCAGAATTATTTTTTATATACTTTTTTTAATTTTTACTCTTAAAATTCAGGTATAAATGGATTTTAACTGTTGGAGACAGCACGGATACGGTTACTGTTTGCTGCTGGGACCGTGTTGCAAAGGAAATGGTCGGAAAATCATGTGATGAACTTCGTATGGAGATGATAGAGGTTCGAAAACGTGGTCAATATAATAAATTTTTTAATATTCAGTTTTGTGTTAATCATTTGTATAAAACCAGTCAGGAGATGACTCGCCGTTGCCTACGGACTTGGAGGATTTGGTCGACAAAGAATATTTGTTCAAAGTTGTGAAAAAAAATGAACAACTTGGAACATATAATGGTCCTTTTCAAGTCTCACGTTGCACCTCAGACCCAATTTTAATCAAAAGATTCGGTCCACTCGGACTACCTCCACAAGTATGCAATTTTTATTTAAAATTCTGACTACTCATATATTATATTTAAAATTCTGATTTTATGATTTATTTGTTTTATTTAAAGGAATCTTCCTCAGAAGGCGAAACAACACTCCTATTAAAAAGATGAAGGATGGCCATGAAGATGTTACAAACAATAAGCTGAAAAGAAAGCTTTTTGAAGGTGAATCCAGCAATGCAAAGAAGATCAAAGAAGAAGATGAGAAAATAGAAGGGTCCGAACAAATGGCCGCATGAAATAATGAGTTCTAGGAAGAAAATTATTTTTCAGAATGCTGATTATTGTTTCTTAAGTTTGTTATGCTGATTATTGTTTCTTAACTTTGTTATTTTGAAGCTGAACTTCAGTTATGAATAAATAAGTTCATTTCTAATTTTGTTATTTTAGTTTCAGATATAGTTTTATAATTATATAAGTAACAGCAAATAAAACAGCAAATAAAATACTGATATTTTGCACAAACAGAGATCCAGTCAACATACCATACAATATAAACACTGAAGCAACAAATAAACACAGAAATTCAGTCCACATAATATGCAATGTTAAAAACTGAAGCAACAGATAATTTCCAGAGAGTTCAGTCCAC